TATAAAACAAGGCACAATAATTTAATATACTACATAGAAATTAACTACCAAACACAATAGAATACACACAGTCTTAAAGTACTTTCGGTACCAAAATGAGTTTCTAACAGGTTAGAAAGCATTAGGTAGGTTCTTATCTTGATCTAAATAATACATTTGATAAGATATTATTCTTGAATAATTCTAGATGTAGTTGTTAATGGTCACATGTGTGTTTTTTGATCTATTCCCATTATTAACTCATTAATTGGATATTGTTGGTTTATAGAACTTGATGACTAATCTTCAGAGATGTGTAATTACACTTCAACACTGATTTATGGTGGAGGATATACTAATATATCATACAAACTATCTTGGTTTTATACTTTTGAACTAAATTCCACGTGAGAATTGTATGGATAGTCATATAACTTTGTTATGTTCCTAAGCTCATGGAATCAAAACTCAAAGCTATAGAATCCTCATCAGCTTGACTCAATTGAGTTACACCATGTTTTTTTATAAATAGTTTATTTAAAAAGTCAGCATTTTTTAAAAAACTAATTAAGTCTTAATATTTACTTTTTATTTAAACCATGTTGTCACATTTTATTAAAAAAAAATTTTAAAAATGCGCTACAAAATTGATTTTAATTAAAAAAAATTTCTGAAGGTTTTTGGACATTTTGTGGACATTTCTAAAAATATCATGGATATTTACGGATATTCACGGATTTTACAGATTTTTTTGGACAATATTGCAGATATTTTATGGACACGTCAGGAAGAATAGCCTTTCCCCTATATTCATATCGAGATTTCAAAATATGGATAATATCGTGAAAATATTGACGATGTTGTGGACATTTTCATCCATCCAGTAACAAAGGGTATTATTCAACAAAAAAAAAAGAAGCAATAAGGATATTTTAATGAATCAACACGCAAAAGGAAAAGAGTTATAAAAAAAGAGAAAATTAGTGAATTCACCTTTTAAATGTACTGTTATAAAATTTTCACAATTTACTCTTGATTAATACCTTTTTTACAAATATAATTCTTTGACTAAGGGTACTAATAAAGTGTAAAATGTAAAAATCCAAGATCCATGCATTCAAAGGAGTATTTGTCTCATTTTTCCTTCCGATGAATTATTCAGTGGACCGGATGTATCGCATTATTTTGTTTATGTGGTACACATGTTCAATAAAAATTTAACATTTAAATACTTATGCCAACTTTTAATAATGTTTGTCTCTTTCTTAATGTGTATCGCACTAATTGTTGTGTCATGATCACCGTAACTATTATATACTTAATTTTTTTATATTAATCAATTAACTTTAAATAATTATTTTTATTTACCTAATAATTATTTTTATTTGCAAAATATTTTATTTAGGGGTTGTTCTTTTGCAACGAAACTCAGAAAAAGTTTGAACTCGACTTACAACTTTATTTAAGTTCATGTTCTTTTGTAAAATTTGAGTTTGAACTCGAGTTTGGCACTAAACTCGAGTTCAAGTTTCCCCTTCAACTCGAGTTCATAAACTCGAACTCAAGTTAATGAACAATATTTTTTCTATTCTTAAAAATGTCATAACTTTTTCGTTTTAATTCTGATTGAGATGATTTGTTTTCTATGCATTTACAACAAAAAGATGAATAAAACCTCACACATATACCCTATTAACATTTTTCATCTATTAACATTTTTCATCACCATTGAGTTTTTATTAAAATACTATCTAAATATAAATTTAAGTTTTGACCCATCCAAGCACAAACTCAAATAGATTCTTAATTCAAATCATAACTTAAATATGCACATTCAAACACAAACTTAAGTTACAATTTTAACTCAAGTTATAACTCAAACTCAATTTAAGATCATTATTCAAGTCACCCTAACTCAAAAATGTAAAAGAACAACCCCTTAGTTTGCTTTTTGAAAACGTCCTTGCTTATAAAGTTGCAATTTATTTTTGCCAAAAATAGTACTACTAAGAAATGAAAATGCTGCTAAAAGGGTTTTCTGTTTCTGGTCTTTTCAAGTCTATTAGTTTTCTTCTTGAACACCGAGGAAGAAAATGGTTTCCATTGGTTTTGTTTAACTTTTTTTTTTCTTTTCCTTTTCTCTGAAACCAAACAGACACTTTAGTTTAATTAAATCTCACGCTATGACTCTGACTGCGGTTGCTGCTGTGTTTTCTGTTTGCAAGGACTCTGCGTGGGGACATTTTCTCGTAGTTACAATTTGAGGTAAAAAAAAGCGAACGATGACTCAGGTGATTTTACTGTTCATCATTACATACTATTCATTGGACACTCGTTACATAACTAACCACCTTCCTAAATTCATTGGACGTTCTTCTGGCTATTTAACATGCCGAAATTAAATAAATAAATAAATAAATAAAGCTAGTTCATGGCTACGGTGAATCGGTGATGATGACAAGGGATTATTTTTATCCGACGAGTCGTGTTGGAGAGCGAGCCAACATGAGTACATAATTCTGTGCCAATCTGGGCACACAATGTTAGAGTTGTGTAAATCCGAAAATCTCGCAACTAACTTTTAAATTGAGTGAATTAAAGTTCTGTTCATTTCACAAATTTGAGTTTAAAATTTAAATTTTATTATAGTTAAAAATTTTAAAAAATAATCACATTTAATTTTTTTAATACAGTAAAAAATTCTCATATAAAATTAAATTTTAAACTCAAATTAAAAACTCAAATCAATAAACTAAACGAACATTAAATCTTTCAATTTCTTATTTTACTGTATTAGTTTGGGAACGTCCAAAGGAGCGTACTTAATCTTAGACATTATCAATTACACTATTAATTATAAATAATGTGTGAATCATTTGCATTTTCACAAAAAACTGCGTATAGTTAAACGTAAAAAAAAAAAAAAAGAAAACACATACACACACACAACTTATGCAGTAACTAATCTATCTATAATCTATGTAAGTATACTTAAAGTATAATTATCCTGATCGTATTATAATTTATAAAGATATGTATATTACTTGATTTGTAGTAGATGATTAATTGTCAACTGTTTACTATCAATATCTTTAATTTGCAAGCGAACTTTTCTTTTTACGTATATTTCTCCTTCCATTGATTTCTCAATTCGTCTTTTTTCTCTCTTTCCAGTCATATGGGCTCTCTTCTTTTTGTTTTTTTTTTTGTTTTTTTGCGTAAGAGTCCTTTTGAGAGCTTATGATCATTTTTTCTTTTTCTTTTTAGATCATACTTATCTTCTTGATGTTTTGTCATGGTTGATTTTTTTTTGTTGTTGTCTTTTTTATATTTTTTTATCATTTAATTACTTTTTGTTGATACTACTTTCTCTTTTTTTTTTTTTTTTTTCCTTTTTCTCTTAATTCTTTTTTTGAGAGAGAATACATATATAAAATTATACGACTCTTCGTGAACATACTATTTTTTCGTCTACTATTTATAAAAATTATTCGTTTCTTCGTGTGTGTGTATATACACACTTTTTGATGTGGTTTATTTGGAAGAGATGCTCGTAATATTATTATTTTTTTTATAGGGCGATGCACGTATAATTCTTTAACTATGAATAGATATATCTTTTAGAATCTCAATAATCTCTCGTGTTTATGAGTTGTAAAGTTTCAATTGACAAAAATGTAAATTTTCATCAATATTTATTAATTAAAAATGACAACTTTTTACTTGTAATAAATTTAAAATTCTTTGATATAATATTAAAAATGATTTCTTTTTTTTTCTTCTCCTGTAAAAGTTGCAAAAGCCTTCAATTTACAAACTCATTGCGCAAAAACAAATACTTTAACAATAAATCAATGGAAAAATTTCACTTTAGTACCCATTGCATTTTTAAACATGACGTTGAACTTGATTTGTCCATAATTTTTTTAAAAAAATTTATTAAAAAATATTTAAAAAATAAATTCAAATTTCTATTCCTCTCCCTCTTAGTTTTTTTTTTTCATTTTAAGATTTTCAAATATTTTTAATGTATTTATAAAAAAAATTCTGAACAATTGAAGTATAAAGATAAAAATGACATTTCACATCCCAAAAAGGTCTCAGGGTATTAAAAAATAATTTTCTAAAACGTTAATGTTCTCGCATGAAATTATTAAAAATATAGGGTACCGAATTCATATTTTAATATAACATAGAATACCAAATATTCTAGACAAATCAAGTAGAAGGGCATAAATGACCTTTCACGTCCTAAAAAAATGCCTCACGATACTAAAATATGATTTTTTAATACATCAAGGTACCCGCATTAAATTGTTAAAAATATAAGGTACCAGACTTATATTTCAATATAACACAGATACTAAAATGAAATTTTCTCAAAAATCAATGTAACACGTGGCTCAAACCCAATGAACTTTGCACTATATTTATCATCTATTGATAGTCTGCGAGCAACATCTGTACGTAAATCATACAAACTAAAAAGAAAGAAAACAAGCAAGAAAGGATGTCAAAGTATGATCTATAGCCTCTTTTATATGAACTTATAGATATGCTCAACTTTATGTATTCTCTACCCGTAAACGTGAACCATGATGATGGAGTAAAAAATAGCTATAATGGAGTTTATGTTATGGCTCATTCGTATTAAGTACTCAGACACTGATATAACGTGAACCATGATGATGGAGGAGAGTTCTAAAATTGCTGATAATCCTGCCCAACAATAACGATACAAAACTAAAAAAAGTAGCAAGGATGAACATAAGTGATAAATCTGAATACATGCTCTAAGAGGACCATATTCTTTAATTCTCCTCTCTGTTAACTAAAATTTGAACCTATTAAAGCGTTAACATCTGGAATGGGGCATTGAAAAAGCACTATTCTGGAGAATACCAACATGGAGGAATAAAAACCAACCCTAGAATTTTCATTAAAAGAAAAGCCATGAACAAGACCAATGACCATCTGAACAACAAAAAACTATTCACAAAAAAAAAAAAAAAAAAGCCCATTCCCCACCTCATGTTCACAAGGGGAAAAAAAAATATAGACAAGAAAATTACCTAGACGGCTAGAACTTTACCAAAAAGTATAGGAGATGGATAAACAAGAGTCAAGAAGAGATTTCATCACTATACATCCCAACCATCCTTCCTGTCATTGAATTTCCACTTATGCGCAGCCAAACTTCCGTACATCTCGGAGAACTTCATCAGGCAGTCGGTTCTTTTCTGAAAGTGCACCTGCGTATTCCGGCTGATCGCCGCACCGGACAATTTGGATGTGTCTATAGTCCATGTTGGTCTTACATAATCTACTCTCCTACTTGAACTAGCATTTGCATACAAAAAATTCATAAGCACATCTTCACAGTTAAAGTATTTGTCAACCACTTCCCTACCTTGCCTAGCTTCTTCACTCCAATACCTCTGAAAAGCCGTTTTACTATCAATGAAAGCTGCCCCCGTGAGGATCATGTTGTAACCTTTATGTCTTCTGGCAAACTGTTCACCCCGATACTTTAATTGGCTTCCATGGCTGAGCCGGGGATAGAACCCCACTATGCGATCTGGATGTTGGCGCCAAAGTTTAAAGCCACGCTCAAGGTCATCACAAGTCATCATAATGTCGTCGTCAAGCTCAAGAACAGCTCGCGTCTTAATCAATGAATCCTCCTTGAACCGATTATTCAGTGAGTTCTCTTCCTCGATTCTGATCCTAATTGGCACCGTTGAGTCAAAATCACTCACTCTAGGAGGTGTTCCCTTGTTCCATACAACAACAATTTCTCTGACTGAAGAACATCTAGAGTAGTGCTTCACATACAATTTTAAATTCCAAAGCCGAGCTTCATAGGTCATTGTTAACAAGGTGAACTGCGCGTAATGACCTTTCCATGGATAAGCTTCTTCTGCACCACTCCCACCATAGATAAACTTAACCCCGGTGCACATTGCCACAACTCCGACTATGAAAATAATGGCAAGAACTAATCTTCCAGCACAACTATTAGGCCTAATCCTACCTCTAAGGTATGAACCTGATCTGTTCAAGCGGCTACAAAACCGTCTCACTTTGGAAGAGAACAAGTATGACCTTTCCCAGGACAAGAATGCATCACTTCTCTTCCCTGAACTGTGAGTGCACCAGTTAAGGGGAATGATGCACTTCACAGTTCCAAGCAACAAACCCAATAATGCAACAAGTAGGAGAGCAACTGCAACTGAAGTACAGCCAAGAATAAACCGACGGACTGAATCGCCAGAAGGGACTCGGTCTCCATCCATTACTGCAATCCATTTACCATTACTTAACTTCTGAACATCCAGTTGATGGTAGCGAGCGCCATTCCAAGCATTCCGACCCTTAGTTGGCTCTGCTAGGCCTAAGGGCACTTCGACTTCTTTGTATTCATATTTGGTAAGAACTTCCACCCTGAAGACGCGTACTTGTCTTCCATATGTTTCACCACAATCTTGGCCAATGCGGTAAAGGTGTCCGTCATAAAAAAATGGTCTACCACCATTACGAGCCCCGAAGCTCTTATCTGTGTTATATATAGGATTCTTTCTGTGTGGTTTCCAAGGACCAAGAATTGAGCTGCTATACCAGATTTCTAATTGTCCATTCTTTTGGGTTCCGAAACCGCTGTGATCAGAACCAAAGAGCCAATACATATCATTGTATTTGATGATAAATGAATCAACAAGAGGTTTCTTCATGATTACTTTCTTCAGTCTCCACTGCAGAGGAAATTTAACCGCTTGGTACAAACGAAGTTCCCCTTTCACACTACCTTCGGGCATCATATATATCTGTAAGAAACAATAACGAGATTGAATTTAGATAAATAACAGAGTCATGAGTTCCTAAGCTCGGAAACTCAGACTGATGTGTACCAACCAATTGTGATTGAAACATTTTATAGGTCCATTCTACATTTTTTTTTTTTAAATGAAGAATGAAGTATTTAAATGTCTGAAAAGTTTATGCATATTAAAGAAATTTTATATTACTTACTTGGCCGAGGTCCTCAAAAACATACGGGTAAGAAAGATGCCACTCTTCATCCAAGGCTATGCCCAACTGTTGCCATGTTGCTCCCCCATCAGTACTTTTTGCAACTCCAATATCGCCTTGCATAGTTATTGAATTTTTGGTTTCATAAAACAGGTACAAAGCATCACTCTGGAAAAGGAAAATAAATGTATATGGTAATTAGTTGTTTTTCCAATGTGACACGGTACATGTGTACACACATGCGTAACCACGTCTACGACTTTTCTAGCACCTGATTTAGTCAATTAGCTGGTCAATATAGTGGTTTACCAAATGAAGGCACTTTCTGAGAGATTTTGGGTGATTAAGCGGAATATGGATGAGTTACTTGAAGACAAAATTAAGAGAGAATAAATCATAATCAAGTGCAACAAACAGAAAACTGTTTTGACTTCTGTTTCTACCATAATGACAATGAATATTTTTATGAGAATATACAACATGGGCGTCACAAGTTATCATATAATTAATTAATTTAATTAATTAATTAATATTTTTACCCGGGGTAATGGCTATTTCATAGTCCACACAGGGCCTCATGACTCGTATTTATATATTCTCAGGTTCTTAAAGCATCTTTATCAAGAAATAGACCAGCAAACATTTATGCCTTTACCTTGCGATGTCGCTTTGAAAAGGGCCTCGTCAACAAGAAAATTCAAGCCCTTCATTAATCCTAATCCAGTTATTAAACAAATACATCTTAAAAGCTTTGGTTAAAGTCCTCAAATGCTAGAGAAAAAGGTTAAACTTGTCAAAGTTAATAATTGAAATATTTAAGTCACTGTTGAGTAAATTGGACAAGGCTTAAATGCTGAAAGTTTTCCATCTCTACTACTGAAAATTTCTAAAGTAGAAGACTAGAAAGGTCTATTACATATCACATACACAATGGCTGACGTTTAAACAGCTATACAGGAATCTCAATGGGGGCGTTCCTTGTACAGTAATATCTCACTTAACCTAGTACTTAAGGACACGTACTTTGTATTATTATTATTATTATTATTATTATTATTATTATTATTATTTAACAGTGGTCCACTACAATTTGCAATTATTGATAACCTATTATAATGAACCAACTTGAGAAAGTTCAACAACATATACAATGGCTTTTTTTTTCAGGGTACTACACAGCAGACATTAATAAAAAAATAAAAAAATAATTCACTTTTCGTTCTACTTAAAATAAATAAATAAATAAATTTGACTATGAACAGCAATTGCTTTAACATCATTTAAAGCGTCTCCCACCCAGTTTCGTACTTGGAAGCCCTCATAACTCTCCTCTAAAACCAGTTTACAATGGTTAATTTGCCTCTCCTTGAAAGTTTTAATTCTTCTCTAAATACCCAAACAGACAATTACCAAAAGAGAGCACAATTTTTTTAAGGTAATTGATACGAATGGTCTCTAAACTTGTTAAAAGGTGACAATTTAGTCTTTAATTTTTTTTTTGACAAAATGACTCCCAAATTATTTAAAATGGTGTAATGTCATCCTTTCCGTTAAATGTCATCTAAAAATATAGACTAAATCTTAACATATTAAAATCGATTGGGTCTAAAAAATTACATCATAAAGAAATAAAGGATCATAATATTATTATTTTAAATTATTATGTCATTATTTTTTAAACGGTATTGACAAAAAGAATTATATTACACATTTTTAAATAATTTAGAATTCGTTTTATAAAAAAAAAATTTAATGATCAAATTATCACCTTTTAAAAAGTTTATAATAGACCGTTCCTGTAATTTACTTTTCTTTTTTTTCTTACAAGCTAGAATTATCTGAGGTTCTATTTCTCAGGACCACCTACCCACCTAGTAATAATTTTTTATTTTTAAAAAAAAAACCTTCATAGAACAAAGCATTGCTAAGGCAGAAGAGTGAATATATTTGCTAATGTTTTCCTTTTTTTCTCATAAAATTCTTGTCCTCCATACTTGACAGTGACAGTTTTTTTTAGGTGAATACTAAACAAAACAACAAGCTCTTTGTTTTTTATTTTATTTTTTCAAAGCCAAATTGAAAGGAGATTTTAGCTACCTGAACGTAGAGAAAAGGATCAGCCACAAAATTACTTGGGAAACCGGCCTCCGATACCGATGCACACGTCACGACCGGATTCGCCACCGGCCAGGCCGCACTCTCGTCGCTCCAAACATTCTCCTATAAAATTTTTTTGAAAAAAAAAAGATCAAAATTAACCAAAAAATAATAATTTAATTAAAAAAATTGAAGAAATTAGAACTTACAGCCTCAATGGGTTGGAGGGAGAAGGGAGAGTCGCCGAAGAAGACGCCGACGGACCACGAGCCCTCATTGTCGTCGCGGCAACCAAACGACGACAGACCGGTCGTCGTTCGGATGCCGGGGGCGAAGGCGAAGCGCGCGTACAACATGGCGAGCGATCCAAACAGCGCGAGGCAGGCCACGAAGAACACGAATCCCGAGGAGAGCAGAAACCGCTGCAGCTGGTGGTGGAGGTGTTGCTGGCACCAACACTTCATGCTGACGTGGCTGCAGCTCCCTCCTCCTCCGCCGCCCCCGCCGCCGCTCACTCCGTCTGGGCCCACAATCGGGCTCGAGCCCATCTCTGACTACTAGTAACAAGAAATAATAAAAATAAAAAGAAAATGAACAAGAAACACGAAACCGCCGAGGACTAAAACGACGCCGTGTTAGCTACACGTGGCATCGGCGTCGGCGGCGAGAACATGGTTTCCTTCGGTCACCTTCATTTCATTCTCTTCTCCGAATCTGAGTTTTTCTTTTTCTCTTTTTGTTGTCGTTTTACTTCTCTCTTTTTAATCGGAGGGAGACTAAAACGACACCGTCTCGGGTACACGTGGCGGCGCCGCCGTCGTCGACGATACGAGGGATTAATCTGAGAATTTTTTTTTTTTCTCTTTTATTTATCACTCTCTGGTTTTGGTATGGGGAAAAAAGTTAACAGACAGACTCTGAAATGCGGGGTTGAACGAAATTGAGAAAAGATGAAGAAAAGAAGCGTTACCCCCAATGTGGGCGTGTGTATATCTATATCTATATGTGTATATATAAGTGTATATGTATACAATTCAGTGGTGTTTGTATTGTATTCTTATTTCCTTCCCTTTTGCGCTTTCCTTTTCTCTTCCATGTATGGCATGTAATACGCGAGGGGTTTATATATATATATATATATATATATATATATATATATATATGTATATATATGCACCGCTGGGGTGTCCCACTCGCGGAGAGACCGAGACTGTCTGACACTCGCGGTTTGCTGAGGAAATGTGCCCGTTGAGGGTTCATGAAAGCGACTCGTGGGGATACTCCGGAGAGAGTGCAGGTCACGCGTGGAGATTTCTTATTTGTTTAATTTGCTTTTCTCTCTTTCTTCTTCTTCTTCTTCCGTTTCGTTTCAAAGTTTTATGCTTTTTAGCGTTTCAAATTCAAAAGAAGGTTTTTGGTTATTTACTTTTTACATTTTAAAAAAATTAAGATAAGGAAGAAGGAGCCGGTTTTACTTTGTCGATTAAGAAATTTGATTTAGGATTTTTTTTTTTTGGCGCTTTTGAAAAAAAAATAAAAAATAAAAAACCCTAAAAAAATAAGAATAAAAATGAAATGTGCTTAGAGGGCTTTGCATTAGGTGTTAGGGTCCACTAGAATGAAGTGGGACTAGAATTTTTGTATGCATGGAGGGTGTGTTTGGAAATTTTGTTTAGCTTTTAAGATTCTATATATTGTAAAGAGATTTTTTTTTTTTTTTGTGGGGATATTATAAAGAGATTTTGAGCTTGTTCTTTTAGAGTTTAACTTAAATATAATTTTTGAGTTGAATTTGAGTTATAACTTGAGTTGAACTTGTAACTTGAGTTTGTGTTTGGTTGTGTACATTTTAGTTATGATTTGAGATAAGAATCTTTTGAGTTTGTGTTTGAGTGAGTCAAAACTTGAATTTATATTTAGATAGTATTTAAATAAAAACTCAATGTTGATGAAAAATTTTAATAAGGTATATGGGTCGGGTTTTATTTGTCTTTTCTAGTTATGATTTGAGATAAGAATCTTTTGAGTTTGTGTTTGAGTGAGTCAAAACTTGAATTTATATTTAGATAGTATTTAAATAAAAACTCAATGTTGATGAAAAATTTTAATAAGGTATATGGGTCGGGTTTTATTTGTCTTTTCGTTGTCAATGCATAGAAAAAAAATCATCTCAATCAGAATTAAAACGAAGAAGTTATAGCATTTTTAAGAATAGAAAAAATATTGTTCATTAATTTGAGTTCGAGTTTCTGAACTCGAGTTAAAGTGGAAACTTGAATTCGAGTTTAAACTCGAGTTTAAACTTAAATTTAAACTTAAAAGAATATGAACTCGAATAAAATTGTAACCTGAGTTACATTTTTTTGAATTTTTTACTCAAAAGAACAAGTTCTTTATCACTTGGGATGATAAGAAAGGGAATGATTAAGGTGGATTTTTTGATCTACTTGGTGTTTTTTTTTTTTTTTTTTTTCCTTTGAGGATTTTAATATAAGTGGGTTATCATTAGAGCTATTGATAATGAGTTAATGTGGTAGGTGAAAAGGTAACATCAAAATATTCTACCAAAGCATGGTAAAATGATAAAAACTTTGCAAAATTTTTGAGCACTTATAAAGCTTATATTATCAATTTTTTATTTAATTACATTATACATATGCTGATATAAATACACATATATTTATATGAACGAGTTTTTAATTATATTTACTTTTTAGATTAAATATAAAACTTAATGGAGTTACATAATAAAAATCTAATTTTATTAATTACCATATGTATATAAGTATATACAATTACAGAGTAATATATCATTATGACATTGTGTGATTGAAAAATATCACTCACAAGGACTATTTTTTTAATGTTCTCTACTTTTTTAAATATTATGAATACTTTTTTTCCTTTAAAACTTTTTACGGAAACAACGTAACATGGTCTGCCAATTGTAATGATATAGAATATGAGAAGAGATGCTTTTATAATTTATAAATAACTAAAATTTATTGACTCACATATTTGGCTTATAAATAAATATCTATCCATATCTTTAATGTTAATTAAGATCCAAGTTCGAATTCACAATGCTAAAAGGAAAAAATAAAAAGAACAAATTTAGCCATGTTCGTTTCGCTGATTCGAGTTTAGAATTCAAGTTGAGATGTGATTTTATGTGAGAGCTTTTTACTGTAGCAAAAAAGTTAGATGTGACTGTTTGTGATAGCTTTTTACTGTAGCAAAACTCGAATCAGCGAAACGAACGAGATGGGTACACATTGAATATGCATAATGTTAAACTGAATTTTAACAAAACTTTTTTTTTTTGGATAATGTTAAAACATTTTTAATGTTTCGGATGGGTACACATTGAACAAAACATTTTTTTTTTCGGAGCAAAAAAAAAAAATGTGTTCTCACAGCCACAGGTGATATACAAAGAGAGATCCAATAGAATTGTCTTTTGGCTGGTCAAACTGAATTTTATTGACCAAGCAAGAGATCCAATAGAATTATCCCAAATAATAAGACCAATTAGAAAGTCTCATTTGCAACTTTATAATAGGTTATATATGCTATTCTAGAATTATAAACATCTCAATCTTTTCCGTACCTCTTTAATATTTACATTTCAAGTACTCCTTCCAAGTTTTTTCTTTTTTTTTCCTGCTACAAAGTACTCCTTCCCAAGTTAATCAAAGGGTTAGCATTTCCAATTTGATATTCGGCATCTCAATAGAAAAAGAAGAGATTCCTCTTAATATATTTTATGATAATGCAAATTATTTTCTATTTCAATTACTTCTTGATAACTCTTTGGGCAGTTTGGAAGCCCTAGATATTTTTTATCTTTTAAAAACTCAAATGTTTCTCTCTGAAAATTTTTACAGCAAATCTTGAAAACAATAAGCTACCTGTAATTTTTTTAGTTTTAATTATTAAATCTTGATTAGAAATTGTCCGTTTTATTACTTTTTTAATAAGTTGATGTGATTATGGTCAATTTAACGATCAAAACAGACATTATTAATAAAAGATCATGTTACCTTATAAGAACCTCTATTTTTGGTAGGATAACCATAAGAACCCTGTAGGTTTTATTTGGATTTCCTAACAATCAAAGAACTAGTACAACTAGCAAAAAATAAAAATAAAAATAAATAAATCAAAGAACCTAGTACGAAACCTTTTCTGATGTCCTTTGCTTCTTTCTAAGGTCAGAAAATAAGTTAGAATTGTTTAAAAAGAATATATAATATAAGTAGAAAACGTGAGAATGAGTAGGCAAGTACTAGAGTACGCCGTACTGCGGAGGGTTTATTCAGGACGGTATTTAGTATTCAAAGCAAATTATCTCTACTCTTTTGACCATTTCCGATTCTAAGTCAGATAATTTAAGAAGGGAGTTGAAATCGAAGAATTTTTTTACGTTTTCACGTTATTAAGACGACGTTTGGTTTATAAATTAAAATTATAAAATTAAAATTATTTTTAATTTATATGTATTTTTTATAAAAAAAATATTATAATAAATTATAAATCATAATTTAAATTAAAATACGAATCATTTAATTAAAGGACTCTGTGATTATTTTGAGTTTTAACTCGACGTTCTCCAACTCCAATCATAACGAATGATGAGAAACTAATAACAATGCATGATGCTTATTATTTAGATTTGAATATAGGAGTTAGCTTGTATTCGATCGAGTTGGATTATTATTTAGATTTATGTGTAGAGTTTTTCAGATTGTTCATGATGATTAGTTGAATACAAATATATATATATATATATTGCTATTATTCTCTGTTCTCTCTCTGAAACCTTCTCTTTATTTCTATTTGTTTAATCTATCGTGGTTTGCTTAGTGGGAACCATTGACGAAATTTTTTTTTTTTTTTTTTGCGCTAAAAACCTAGTTGAAAAACATCTAGCAATTCCAATATATTTTCCTTTTTTTTTAATTTTTTTGCTTTCGTCGCATGTCAGAAAAAAATTATAAAAAAAAACTTTCTTAAAAACAAAAAAAAATAAAATAATAACTGAAAAAAAGTCAGAAAATAAGTAGCGTATTGCGGAAGGCTTATTCAGGGTGGTATTTACTATTTTGCTATTATCTAGTGTGGGTTTTTGTTTCCCCAGCTAAACAAATTCTCAGTTCTCTTTTGACCATCTCCAATGCTTATTAGTTAAGTAATAGAAAAAAAAAATACATGATATAAAAAATTGTAAAATCAACTTTGAATTTGAACCAAAAGGTACATCTATACGTACATTCTTTTTATCTTACCTTCCAATATTCAATATATTTTAGCCCATTGGGATGAAATAGTTTGAACATAGATGCTAATTTTGCTTCAAATTTGAACCATAAGGTGCCTCTATGTATATATATATATATATATTATTTTCATCTCACTTCTAATATTCAGGCCCCGTTCATTTCGCTGATTCGAGTTTAAAATTTGAATTTTATTACAGTAAAAAGCTTTCACAAACAATCACATCTAACTTTTTTGCTATAGTAAAAAACTCTCACATAAAATCACATCTCAACTCGAATTAAAAACTCGAATCAGCAAACTAAAGAGACCCTCGATATATATGCATTTTTTTTTTTGGGAACAATCTGTATAATTATTTAATCGAATGAATATCTCACTCGTTGCACTATGTTTTGAAAGAGTTCAAAGGACCATGATTAAGGAATTGACCAATTGCTAAAAGGAAGAAAGTAAGACAAAATGAAAAGGAAGAAAGTAAGACAAAATGGCACAAATAGGGGGTTCGTTTTTTGGGGCTCAAAAAATGCTTATAGTTTAGTGGAGTCTATTTTTCATCATTCTTGAAATTGTAGAGTTTGAATCCCCCACTCAATTTAAAAAAAATAAAAAGTATACATTAATTGTAGTTTAAATCAAACATTACATTTAAATATATAAATACATGAAACATTCTAAATTATTCATTTAAAAAAATTTAAAACTTAGAAAGGAAAGGGGAAAAAAGTAAAATATCTCGAACTCACCATTTTCGACTATCATATGATGAACATAATTTATGAGATAACAAAATTAAAAA